TCTCCGGGAGCAGGGCATTCTGCGGGCCCCAGAGCCGTCCCGTGCCAAGTTCAACAGCCTGCGGTCGAGGTGCCGCGAGGTGGGGGCGGGCCGTGTGCCGGAGCCTTGTGTCCTTCATGACGCAGTGGATCCCCGGTCAAGCTCCTGGGCCTCTGCACCCAAGGTGGCGAGCCGTGCTGTTCCCGGCCACGAGGGAAGGGCTGCGGAGTCCGGAGAGCTGAGTCGGCAGAACAGGAAGCCCACAGCGATCGGAGAAGGGGCCTGGGCGGACGGCGCGGCCGGGGATGAAGGGCACTTCCAGGAAACTGGCCGGGAAGGTAGGAGACGGGACCTGCTGGTCTTGTTCCCCACAGAGTGGGTAGGACTCTTGGCTCTGACAGCCAGGGGACAGGGAAGTCCCCCCAGAGGCTGTTACCCCGCCATCAAGAGGGCGCTGCCTCCGTCGCTGCGAGCCCACAGCCCCGACGGACGGCCCGGTACAGGCCAGAGAGGCTGGCGCTCAGCGTTGCAGCTTCTCCCTGTGCCCTCCGCAGCCCAGGTCCACCTCCGCCGGCCTCTCTCATGGAGCACATGGCATTGCAGCTCCCGTCCTCAGCTCTCTCAGACTGCTGTGGGCCTCCAGCCTGGACTCTCCTTCCCTCCTGCTCCAGCAATGCCCTCCTGTCCTGACCCCGGTGTGTGCTGGCTGCGTCCCCGCAGCACCCTTTCCCCTCATTTCCGCTCAGGGCAGCCTGTTGCTACTCAGCTGCCGGTGGCGAGGCCATCGAGAGTGGAGGTAAGACCTGGGGACACACTGGCAGAAACAGAGCTGGCCTCTCGGCCTCAGATGGGTCACTGTGTCTGAACATCCAAAAAGAGACAGCATAGGGGCACCAAGGTGGTTCAGTTAGTTAAGCGTGTGCCTTGGCTCCCGTCGTGATCCTGGGGTCCTGGGATCAAGCCCCGCATCAGGATCCCTGCTCAACGGGGAGCCTGCTTCTCCCTCTCCCTCTGCTTGCTGCTCTGCCTACTTGTGCACGCACACTGTCTCTGTGTCAAACACATAAATAAAATCTATTAAAAAGAGGGGTAGTATAAGACAGTAGTGGCATTAGGGGTGATTTTCCTGTGAGACCAGGGTTAGGAGTTTATAAATACTAAAACCAGAGAATGAAACTAGGCTGGTACTTAACAAAAGGCTGAATCCCGGGAGAAATTCCATTTAGAGGGTGTTTGGGTGGCTCATCTGGTTGAGCATCTGCCTTTAGCTCAGGTCATGCTCCCAGGGTCCTGGGATTGAGCCCCCATGTCGAGCTCCCTGCTCAGTGGGGAAGCAGTTTGTCCCACTCCCTCGCCGGTGTACATAACTTGCCTTCTCACTCTCATAAATAAATAAGATCTTAAAAAAAAAAAAAAAAAAAAGACAGCATAGGAGAACGGTATGTGGGATTCCAGGTTTTTTTCCCCATGACCACAGGGTTTGGACCTTGAACATAGTAAAACTGGAAAATGAACTTAGGGTATTACTTACCATAAGGCTGAATCCCGTGAAGAATTCCATTTACGGGGGCGCCTGGGTGGCTCAGTGGGTTAAAGCCTCTGCCTTCGGCTCAGGTCATGATCTCAGGGTCCTGGGATCGAGCCCCGCATCGGGCTTTCTGCTTAGCGGGGAGCCTGCTTCCCTCTCTCTCTCTCTGTGCCTGCCTCTCTGCCTACTTGTGATCTGTCAAATAAATAAATAAAATTAAAAAAAAAAAAAAAGAATTCTATTTACGTATTTGTCCCTTATGGTGCTGTAACTGCAACTTTCCTCATTGTCCTGTTCTTTCTCCACAGCCCCATGTCTTTCTGTTCCCTCAGGTCTTGAGATTAAAAAAAAAAAAAAAAAAAAAAACAAAACAAAAAAAGAGAATCAAAAAATGGATGATTCGGGGCAAGCAGAAGTGAGGAAGGCCCTATGGAGAGAGTCTAGGGAAAACCCTGAGCCCAGGAGAGACCAGAAGGGTGAGCCTGAGCCAGGAGGGCAACGTTGGATGTTCTCCAGGGGAGCGGGCGGGAGTCCCCCGTTCCAGGACAGGAGGCAGCAGACACCCAGGGCCGGGGAGAAGGCCTATGCGCGTCTCCTGAGTGGGGGAGACAACTCTCAGGGCTCTCCCTGTCGCCCCCAGCCAGTCCCTGAACTGGAAAAAACTTCTAAGTGCCAGCAGTGTGGGAGAAGCTTTAGCCGAGGTTCCTACCTCATTCGGCACCAGAGTCTCCACACAGGAGAGAAGCCTCACGAGTGCAGCGAATGTGGGAAAGGCTTCAGCGAGGGCTCCAAGCTCACTGCACACCTAAGGATGCACACGGGAGAGAGACCCTATGGCTGTGGGGAATGTGGGAAAAGCTTCAACCAGAGCTCTAGCCTCCTTGCCCACCAGAGGACCCACACCGGGGAGAAGCCTCATCAGTGCACCGTCTGTGGGAAGAGATATTCAACAACAGCTCCCAGTTCAGTGCTCACTGGTGAGTCCACAGCGGGCGAGCCCCCAGCCCTGTGTGCATGTGGGAAAAGCTTCAACAACAGCTCCCGCGTCCGTGCCCACCAGAAGACGCACACTGGGGAGAAGCCCTACAACTGCTCTCGGTGTGAGAAAGGCGTCCCCAAGAACCCTGTCCTTGCCCACCATCGGGGAGCACACAGAGAAGACACACGCACACCCCAAAAAGGGACACATGTTATGAGCATATAGGAAAGCCAACAGATCAGTCCCCTAGTGTGAGTCTCTCCCGAAGCATCTATCGGCTTGTGGAGGCTTCTGTGATCGAAGTCTGTGGCTCAGCAGGAGACTTACAAGCGGATTTCAGGAACCACAGCAGGGAAAGGAATCTGCGTATGTGTGCTGAGGTCTCTTTCTAGGCCTGCCTGTGACCCACAATCCTGTGTCACCGTGGACTTCCACACAGGATCCACAGTCCTGCCAGGAAACAAGGGTAACCTTGTCCTGGAGAGAGAATGGGTGGCTAGAGGCCTGGGAACGGTTTCTGGGGCAGTCAGAGAAGACCTTTTCCCTGCTCATGGGAAGCACATCTGGAACTGAGCAGCCTCGATGAATCCTAAACCAATAATGAGCTCTGGGCACCTGCTCTCTGCCATGTCCACCTCCGAGTAGGTCACTGCTCTGTCCGCCAGTCACCCAGAGAAGAGAGTAAAGCAGGAGAGACAGCTTAAGCCACAGGGTACCACTACTCTAAGTGACTTAATCTCAGAGCAGGTGTGCCATCGGGGTTCCTTTCTAAGATTTCTCCTCTATATCACGCCCACCCAGGTTCCTGGTTTCTTGTGTTACATTTAATAGTTTCTACAGGTTTATAAGCATTACTATTTCTAATGAAAATAAAGGTGTTTCTCCCTTCAGTCTCTGGGCCTGTTGTGCTCATTTTCTCCATTAGAAACTTTATCCTTGGGGCCACTGGGTGGCTCAGTCAGTTAAGGGTCTGCCCTTTGGCTCAGATCATTATCCCAGGGTCCCAGGATCAAGCCCTGTGTAGGGCTCCCTGCTCAGTGGGGAGTGTGCTTCTCCCTCTACCTCTGCCCCCCACTCCTGCAAATGTGCTGTCTTTCTCTCTCCCTAAAATAAAGAAAATCTTCTAAAAACCAAAAAACTTTATCCTTGTGCAGAGGCCCACAGGTTCCTGAACGGCCTCAAGAGCCTGTGTCGGCACAGGAGGACATACAGGGGAGCAGCGGAATTGGGTCATTGGTGGGCTGCATGCTCACGGCGGGGGGACATCACAGGTGTAAGGAAACGGGTGCAGGAGGAAGGACCTGCATTGTGGAGTACTAAGAAACAACCTATAACCTATTTTTCTTAAGAGATATTTAACCTGTGAAATTTCCACGGATTAAACGTGGTCGGAGATGGGCACGTCGCCTGGTTCCTGGCCTGCGCACACAGGCTGTTCGTACTTTCTCTAATGACAGTGAAAGCGAGTGTCACGGTGGCTGCTTCAGTCTTTTTGAGGAATTAAGCAAGAACAATTTTTTCCCTCAAAACAATAAAGAAAAGTTTTAGTTTTAGGGAAGAAAGGGAAGGCAGGCAAGTCCTAAGAATCCGTGTCAGTGTCTCCTCCAGTTGAGCCTTGCCCAGGCACCCACATTTGCCTGCACACACCGATCCCGAACAGGACCCCACGACAGCCTATGCTGGTCGGTTCCCAGAGCCCCAGGCGCAACACTGCTCTACACAGAGGGGAAAAATAGCATCTTTCCAGGGCCTGGGTGAAGGCAAACACGGGGTTTCACTGTGACCTGTCCCGGGAAGGCAGACTTCACAGGACATCATGGTGGGGAAGAGAGACAGAGCCCAGGCTGGTTCCGCCGGGAAGGGCTGTGGATACCTGGTCGAGGAGCTGGATTTGCTTAATGAGGGAACCAGCGGAAGTCAGGGGAAACGGCAAGGATCGGAGGCGCCCAGGGAGCCTCTCCAGCAGGCTCCTCCCACTCCCGGGTGCTGCAGCCAGGGAGTTGGGGGCAACTGCTGACTGCTTGCCTTGTTGGAAGTGGGGCTGCCTCCCCCCTCCAAACCGCTTCATGCCCCAGTCTGCCGGGCAGAGAAAGGAAGAGCCCAGCCCTCGCTTGTCAGCTGCCCTGGACAGTCTGGAGGAGACAAGTCTGGAGAGCACATTCATTTATTCATTCCTTTAGGAAGTATTTGGTATTTCCTCGTTCTCTGCTGTACCAGGTTCTTCACCAGCCGCATACAACACCGTCAATGAAGCGGACACTCCGTCTTCCAGAATCACCTCACCGGACCTACAGAAGCACCAGCACCAGTCGGGCAGCACCACCGGCTCCAACACCCCCCAGATGGGACCCAGCTCTGCAGGGCCTCTCTTCCAAGTCCTGATTAATCCAACCTTTCGCTGTGTTCCCGCCACCCCACAGGGACTAGCTGCTCCCTGCGCTCACGATGTCGGGTACCTTTCTGCCTACCTCCCGTGGACTCCCACAGCCTCACCACTGCACTGGCCCCTGGAGGAGGAATATGAAGTAGGTGCATAGCAGGGAACACCTCCAAGCCTACAGCTCTCTTCTCCGGCACAGAACAGCCTCCTGCTTTGGTTCAGCCCTTCACGTGTCTATTAAGAAGCCAGTTTTCCCTCCTGTGTACGAAATCCTGGCACTCCGCAAATGGTTTCTGTACTTCCCTCCCTCACGGGAACATTTTAACTAATTGAAAGAATCTCAGTGGGCACTTCCTTGTGATTTACTAACCACTCCCACGGCCAAGACCCTCAAGATTCTCGCAACCCAGAGACGACAGCCAAAGCCAGAGGTCACCCCCCGCTTCACAGATATCTGTTGTGGTTCCTCAGTCTAAGACGGCAGATGGGTGCTCGCAGCCGAAACGGGAGCTGAATCCCTCCAGCTGCCCGACCCCAACTTTCCTTTCCCCTGGCCACCTCTTCTCGGCCTCTCCTGTGAGGGGACTACCCTACCAGCCAGTGCAGGAACAGCCTGGGGAATAGTGGGACCCTGGGCTGGAGCGTGCCCATTTCTCCACTGACCTCATCACGTGCGAATCTCTGCATTCCCTGTTTTTGCTCCCGTCTCCAGTCATGGTACTCATCCTTGGCTAGCTTCCTGGCAGAGAGTGAGGACGGAGCGATCTTTACTTGTGAAGAACACAGAACCCCAGCAAGTAACCTACGTCCCTGTGGCAGGGGTCAGGCCTATAATCATGAACTTGGAGCAGCCAACCCTGTTCTGGTGGATGGAGGCAGTGGCTCAGACATGCTCCATGGACTTGGCCATTCTAGTGACACCTCTGGAATTTTTGCAGAAGTTTGAGATTTACGGAGTATTGCACATAAAGTCTGGGTTTCCTGGGAGGCTCAATGCACACTGCTATCATAGGTTAGGTGATGTGCTCAGAGATTCAGACGGAGCTGGATTTTGAATGTGGGTTCAGTCAATTCCAAAATGTTAATTTACTTCAGTCTTTCACTCCTGGAATCTGGTCAACCCTTTCTGTGGGACCTCAGGGGACACACCTTCTACTGCATGTTACTACCATCAGACTAGTCTTGTGGTGCCAGGGGCCAGAGGCCTGGGCCTGCCCTGAATATGCAGGCATCGCTTAGGATGCATGTCACACCCACTACCGCCAACTCTCCCAGATATTCCACTGTGCCTGGCACCAGAGTAAAAGCTACGTAGTACAGCAGAGATAAGACATGGCGCCTAACAGGATTTTACAGCCTCCAGCTTGAAAAGGCCAAAGGAGAGCTCTCATTTGGTAGAGGCATGCTTACACAGTACCCATTACCATCCACCTACTGGAGCGCATCCATGCTTAGCAATAAGCATTGTCCACTGGAATCCCCGGTTGGATTGGCTTTAGGGTCAAGACTTCATACTCAGACACAGTATGGAGACATATCCCACATGGGCTGCCTTACTCATTGCGGTTATTGGGGTTGGCCAAGCACAGTGGGGCCTCACTCACCCACAGACTCCCTCTCGCCTTGGCTTCCTAGCCTCTGGTACAAGCTGGGCTCTCAGTCATTGCACCTGTAGGTTCCTTCTTTTTCAACTGACAAGCCGTGACAAGTCTAAATGGGGTCTTCTAAGTAGAGATGTATCCCACACCCCCCTTCCTCTGGGGAGTGTCTTCTGATAGATCCCCCTGTCCATGCTTTCCCTGCTGAACTAGCTCCCAGAAAGGTGTTCAGAAAACTTTCTTATCAGACAACATTAAGATCAGACACTCTTTCTTGGTGACAAAAAGCGACCACAAATGCCCCAAGCACAGACGAATTCATACATAACCCTGCTCAGAGCTATCATGGAAAGAGCCTTTTGAGGAGAGGACCAGATGGAACTGTGAAGCCTACATTTGGAACTGAGTTGTCTCAACCTCTCACCCGCGCACCAATTCAGTAGCTCTCTGTTCCCAATTCAGGTCATGACACAACTACAAGGTAAAGTCGATGATGTCACAGGCACTGACAAACTCATCCTTGATCCTTCCTGCCTCTCTCATTTCCAGCCTGAGACTGTGTCTCACCATTTCCTAAAAATAGTTGGGTTCCCTTTGAAGGCCCCATGGTCTGAATGTGAGTTCTGGCTCTTCTCTTGGGAAAATCCCCGGGCATGGGCTTTGTGGGCTCCTAGAGAAGATTTGCAAGTCCCCACAGAATCACAGAGCTGCTGTCTCTTCTTGGGAGCACACACAGCATCACCTGACAAATAACCCATCATTGACACCTTACCTCTCCCAGACAGATCATCTTAGGAGCCCAAGGAAGAAAGGTATAGGTATAGACATTCCTGGAGGGCCAGAGCTAAAAATGTACCTTAGGAGTGCGGTATGTGTGGCAGGGCAGAAGAGAAGAGTCAGGAACACAGGGTCACACTGGATAGTGACAGAGAGGACTTCAGAGTTCTGTTTGCTCAGGACATGCAGAGAGGGCCGTGTTAGCTCCCACGCAGAACCCCGGAGCTCTGACACCTTGCAGCACTGCTCTCACCCCCAGCTGGTCTCACTCCAGCCCTTTCCTAAGCAGAAAATCAGTTATATTAGTCTGTTTGAAGGAGGGTTGTGACCCAGACACTGAGGACACAGCCAAAGTTCTCAGAGCTTGCTGGGTTGCAATTCCTGCCCCACAGAACGGGCATATTTAGAGGCAGAAGATTCTCACCTCAGAGCTTGCTCAGGTGAACACACTGTAAGGGCCTGGTTGGCCGGAGGGAGCCATTTTGTTGCACAGATTGACCCTATGCAGTGAACTTAGATTGACCCTGCCCCTCCCAGAGGAACTTACTTGCAAAGCCTAGGTACAAGGGCCAGTCGGGCCAGGTGAAGACATCCAATCAGAGGGGCGCGCATATATTTACTGAGGTGAGATCCCATTGGCCACCTGTGTGTGGGCAGGGCTCAACCACCCCTATAAAGGTTAGTCTGCGAGGCTGAGGCTGGGGAGGAGTAGAAGAGTCGTCGGAGGAGTAGAAGAGTCGTCAGAGGAGTAGGAGAGTCGTTGGAGGAGTAGAAGAGTCGTCAGAGCTGGGAGAGCTGTCAGAGCTCTTGTAAGAGCCGTCAGAGCTCTTGTAAGAGCTGTAAGAGCCGTCAGAGCTGTCAGAGCTGACAGAGCTCTTGTAAGAGCTGTCAGAGCCGCCAGCGGCCCGCCACCCCAAGCCGCGGCCTCAGGGAGCGGCCTCGCCAGAGCAGCCCCTGTTGGGGAGCGGCCCTGTCTGGGGAGCAGCCTCGTCCAGAGCGGCCACGTTGGGAGCGGCCTTGCCGGGGTCGTCATCACCTTTTTGTAAGAGACAGCCCTGACCGGTCAGTTTGATTCTTGATGCTTGGTGCGAAATAAAGCTTTGCCTGACCTTCGCTTTGTATCAGTCTCATTCCTTTGATCACGAACCCTAACACACACCTGCAGAACAGAACACTGAGGTTCCATTTATAGGGGATGAC